GAAGGGACCGGGCACACGGTGCCCAAGCAGCCACCACAGCCCCGCGTGGAGCGGCTGAACCCTCTCGTCTCTTCTTGGCAGCGCAGGGGAGGCTCAGCATTGCTGCTCCCCACTGCCACGGGCGCAGGACGCCCATCGTGGATTGCAGGACCTGGGTTTTGCTCCTTGCCCAGCTCTGCAGCAGGGCTGGGCAGCTCCAGCCCCGCCAGCCTTCCAGCGCTGCCTTCACGGGCTCATTTTCAGCCACGCTTGGACCCCCCCGTGCAAGGTCCTGGTGCCGTACCCACATCAAAAAGGGCAGCGAGGTGGAGCTGAACGTTGCAGGAGGCTTCATGCTGGTACACCAGCCCAGAGTCCATCCGCAGGGAGCAAACGTGCCCCCTCCGGAGCTGCAAGCCGGGAGTGGTGCTGGTGGGCAGCGGTGGAGTGGGATGGGTGCCCTGGGACGGCGCTGGGTGGGGAGCGGGGCCGGGGGCTGCTCCCCTGGGGTCTGGGCTGGCGGGGGCGCGGGCACCGCAGTGGCACCATGGGCGGACACAGATGAGCAGAAGAGAGAAGGCAGAGAGGAGGGAGAACGCGGGGCTGGGGGGCTGCACCCTCCTACCTGTCCCCTGAACAAGCGGCTGGGCTGATGCTTTTCTGGCCAGGGGTGAAGGAGTGATAAGGCGGTGGGGCTCCGTCAGGCAATTTTTTCACCTCTGAATTCCTAAATCCTCCGTTGCGGACTCGGTGCAAATGCTCAAATATTAGGACCAGTTCTCTGGGGTTGGGGGTTAAATAAAAACATGGAGAAATTAAACTTTCCAAAGTAAATGAGATGAGCAAACCAAGGCTGAGCAGAGCCAGGTCCTCCTCTGTGCAAACCAAAGCAAAACCAGAGCAAAAGAAGCAGCAAAAACCAGCACTTTCTTTCAAAAGATGCTAAATAACAGTTCTGACTGGTGCTGCCGGCAGCGGGTTGGGGCACCTGGAGGTGACGGTGCTGGGGAGGGGGTGCTGGGAAAGGGTCCCGCAGGGGCTGGCCACCGGCTGCGGGGTTGGACCCATGTTGATAGGGATGGTCCAGGCAGGATGACCACCCTTGCTGCAGGGTGGGGACATGGGGACCTGCCACCATCTGGCCTGGGGGTCTGGGCACCGCAGGAAGCTCAGGGCTGACAGGGATGGAGCCTGGCCCCATCTCAGCTCCCTGCTGCAGGAGAACCAGCTCCCAGCACAGCAGGAGGGGCTGGTGGAGCCCCCCACGATGCCCAGCACTGGGAGAGCCCGGCACCACGCTCAGCAGCACCGCACGGGGAGCTGGATCTCCTCGGGGACCAGAGGGATTCACTGCTGCGGCTGTTAAGAGCCCTGTCTTCGAAAAACGTAGGGTGAAATGGAGCAGAGAATTTGGCATTGCAAAGAGATGGAGGGAGCAGGGGCAGGGCACGCAGGCAGGAGGGCAGGGATTTGGCAGGGTGAGCTGCCGGCCCGGGCACCGCACAGCAGCCCCTGGGGTGCTCGGTGTGATGGGAACACACGGGGAGTCTGGAAAAGCTTCGGAGAGTCCTCGGTCCACCCGTGGTGGCACCATCCCAGAGGCCACGGGAAGGGGAGAGCGCTGCAGGGATGGGGCACAGGGCTCCCCACCGGACCCCCCGGCTCCATCCACTCTGCCGCCACGGTTGGAGCCGGCTCCCGCG